CTAGGAGGACACAGGATGATTTCACTGGAAGGAACGTGGAGCATGTGAAGCAGGAGATAATTAGAGTGAAGGTGAAGAGGTGAGCTGTACCACATGTAAAGGATTTTCTGGAGCTGGCTGAAAAGCCTACCCAAAAGGGTCCAAGAGAAGCCACCAAAGATTTTCAGGCAAGTGAAGTGTTGAGATCAAATTTGGTTCTAAATGAGGAAAATCTCTATGACCAGATATGGAATGATTCATGGGATATATTGTTAAGTGGGGGAAAAACAAAAACCAATGTGCAAAAGACAATTGTTAATATGCTACCTTTTGTGTAATAAAGAAGGGGCAATAAAAATATCCACATATCTGCTCACTGGTGCAAAAATAAACAAGAAGGATGAATGAGAAACTATAAGGGGTGAGTGGGAATAAGATGGAAAGAAGAGGGATGAGTACAGTAAAAGAAATGGGGGAAGCAAGGCTTCTCTGAAGATACCTTTTATATAATTATGATTTGGAACCATATTAAAGAAAGAATCATTGCGAATGGAGGAAAAAACCCTGGGGTGAAATACAAACAGAAATGAATAGGAGTGTGTAAGAACTAATGTAAGGAACTTTTTAAAATAGCACTTTGAGGACGTGCTTTGTTGGCTGAAGACAAAAGAACTGTCAACAAATCTTGAATTCGGTTTTGTTTTTCACGGCATTGCAGCTAGCAATTCTGAAACTACTTTCTGTGTGTTTTTGGATTGAGCAAATAAATATATTGTAGATCAGGGAAACAAAGTTTGTTGGAAAAGGGAGCTTAAAAATACGGAATTAGAGGGAGTCTACAGTTGATACTGTAAACTTGGACTGTCATTGGAGGTCTGAGTATCAACATGGGGTTTTTAACATGGATGGATGAATGGATGGCCAGCCAGCCAGCCAGCCAGAGATGAGATATGTGTATATACCTGCATATATTTCTTGGCCCTGGCCCTGATAAAGCCTAGAAGCAAAGGCACCCCAGCAGCAATGAGCACACCTAGTGCCTGAAATTTGGCTGCAGATACCATTCTTCACTGAAAGGAATCTGTACTTTGGAGAAATGACTGATTTCAGGACAAGAACTCAGGAAGTACAGGGTGAGACTGAAACCTTTTGTAGTAACAAAATAAATACATGCTCAAAGAATGATGGGAATATACCTAAAGAACAGGGAATCAACTTGAATGAGCATCTACTGGCCAAATCTGGGGCAATTTGAATAAAAACAAATAAAGATAGTAATGGGCTATAACCCTCTGAATAAAATAAGAATCTATTAATATAAATATGTATTATATATAAATATAACATCTATTCCTATGTATTTATATAAATATTTACATATTTATATTATATATTTATATCATTTGTAATATAAATAAATATATATAAATAAACTGATATAAAGAAATAGAGAGAACTCTTCTTTATAGTCAAATCCAAACTAGTAAATATAGAAGGAATGATAGAATTAGAAGTTTTCTATCATAATAATAATTAGTCCAGGCAGAAATCATCAGTAGATGCTAAAACTAGTGAGTAAAAGTTTGAGGACTAATTACAAAATTACAACTTCGAGCAGGAGAAGATCAGAAGCCAAGTTCAGAAATCTATGGCACAACACAAAAACTTCCTACCCAACTACTGCCAGCTGACTGTTTAAATCATATTACTGTTGTATTTGCAACAGGATAATGATAACTATATATTGAGTGTCCACTGTGTGTTAGGCATTGTGATAGGTGAGGTTTTGGGATTTTCTATTTGTTTGGTTTTTGCATATATTAACTCACTTAGTCCTAATGCTAGCTCAGTGAGATTTTTTTTTTTTTAATTTTTTTTATTTATTTCTAGGAGAGAGAGAGAGACAGCATGAGCAGGGGAAGGTCAGAGAGAGAGGGAGACACAGACTCTGAAACAGGCTCCAGGCTCTGAGCTGGCAGTCAGCACAGAGCCCGAAGTGGGGCTCAAACCCACAAACCGCGAGATCATGACCTAAGCGAAAGTCGGACGCTCAACCGACTAAGCCACACAGGCGCCCCAGCTCAGTGAGATTTTTATTAGTACCCCCATTTTTGAGGTGAATGAACCAGGAGTCAAGAAACACAAAATTTGTCTAATGTCAAATAGCTAATAGGAGGCAGAGCAAGATTCAAAGCCCTGCCTTCTGACATGAAGTGCCATGGTGTTCTGTTGGGCAGAGTGTCTCTCAGTCCTCTTAGAGCTAACTCTGTGCTTCTGGAAGTGTGCAGAATGATACGGTCAGAGGGGCAGTCTTTTTTTTTTTTTTTTTTTAATGTTTTTATTCTGAGAGAGAGAGAGATCGACAGCGTGAGCAGGGGAGGGTCAGAGAGAGAGGGAGACACAGAATCTGAAACACGTTCCAGGCTCTGAGCTAGCTGTCAGCACAGAGCCCGACACGGGGCTCGAACCCACGAACTGTGAGATCATGACCTGGGCACCCCCAGAGAGGCGTTCTTAAAACAAAGGCCTTGGGAGTTCTTTCTTGTCCCATTTTTTTCCCCTTGAAAAATAGGGAAGGCAATGCTTAATTTACATTGTTGTTAGGAGGACTAAATCGGCAAATATATGTAAAACATACAGTGTAAAGTGTCCACTAAATGACAGCCACAGCAGTAGTAACACCAGTTGTAACATTGAATTCCCTGGTGTGATGGAAAACATTTCTAAAGGTCACCGCTCCATTTTGGACTGAATTGATAATCAGAGGGCAGATCATAAAAAGCTTTGTGTATCGTCAAAGGAATATTATGTTTTATTCTATAGGCAATAGAAAACCACTGAAGAATTTTATTACTGGGAAAGATGTGATCTGGGTGGCAATTCAAGAGCATACCAAAGGCAGGAGAGTAAAACCCAAAGCAGGGTGTCCATCGGGAGACTGTTGTTAGAGACTTGGTGAGAGTAGACAAGGGTCTGAGTTAATGAAGCTGGCCTGACAGAGGGGAGGGGACACACAATGGACAGTCACGCTTGAGTGCAGCGCCTGGGTTTGGCAGGAATGGATGGGAAAGAAGCTTAGGCTGAGCCTCAGGCTTCTGGCCGGTGTGCTGGCTCCTCTCAGGACATGACTGGAATGTAGAGGAAGGGCAGGCCGGGGGCATGGGAAGGTGCTGATTTGGGGTGGTTTGGGACACACGAGGGAGTCACAGTAGACAGTTGGATATTCAGATCTGGATTGAGGAGCGAGTGCAGGGTGAGAGCAGCATGCCTGTGGTCACTGAAGCCACGGCAGTGGGTTCCCTCACGGAAGAGGTACAGAACAAGGAGAGGGCTAAGGTTGGGACTTTGGAAATGACAGTGTTTAGCAATGGCGAGAGAAGTGGAAAGAGACTGAGGAGGAAGACTCAGAAAGATAAGATTGTTTCCAGGGGTCTGTTTCCTGCTACGGTAAAGGCTGCAAAAAGAAGCAGATGAAGCAAGGAAGGCCTGAAAAATGCCTGCTGTATTTAACAATTGTGTTACTAGGGACCCTAGCAAGAGCAGGTGCCAAGGAGCAGAATCCAGTTGGGCAGTGGATTAAGGAGAGAATTGGACGTTTTAAGGAGGGAAACTAGAACTTGGATGTTCTTGGGGATGCAGGCATCTCCCTTCCTTGCCATGAATACCCACCTGTTGGTGGAGAGCTTGACTAGTGGAAGGTCGTTCTAGAGCCAGAATCTCCTTTCAGCATCTTCCTGAGTTCCTGGCCAGCTCTCCAGGTCTATACCAACCAAGTCCATATACTTCTCCAGAGAGCTGCACAAACTCACCTCACTGGGTCGTCTCATCCAGAACCTCCCCTATCCCTCATATGCTCCAGGCTCCCAGATGTGCCTCAATGACCAACCCTTCACCATGGATCCAGTTTTATTAAAACTGAACTGCTTCTTTGGTGGCATCAGTCTGTATTTCTCCTCCTATTAGGTTGGTGGCTTTCTAACATTTTGTTAAACCTCAACCCAGAATAAGAAATACATTTTACATTCTGATCAATATACGCATATGTATAATGGAAATGAGATACTCCTATTTTCAACTCTATTTCTTGCCATTCCACTCTATCCTATTCTATTTTGTGTTTCTAAATGCTGGCCTTGGCCCACCACATTAATTTTACAACCCACTGAGCTGACTTAGTGGCTGCTGGTATGACTGCCAGAGCCACCGTGCTAGGAGGGGCTCAGAGGAAAAGATGCTAAGTGTCTGAATCCATCCCTTTTCCCTCCCTCAGGCTCCCCTGCACTGAGGCCAGCGGCAGGTCTTCCCTCTAATCGCTTGTGTATGGTTGTGAGAGGAAAGAAAACCACTTCAGTCACTAGGATGTTAACCAGCCATTGGGGTATTTGAATGTCCGCAGTAATGGTGGAGAGATCAGCTTACCTTTCAAATCATGACATATGTACTGTCCCTACTTGCTCATGAGGCATCCGACAGCCTGAGGTGTTTTCATGCCTTGAGGATGTCCTCAGGTGGGCCTACTACCGCCTCCCTTGGGAGACATTTAAAATTTCCTGAGTTGAGGAGTATGGCTACCTATTCAGACAGGCCACCCAACTAGAGTTGTGCTGGTCTGGTCTGTACACCCTCTTGAGACTTCCTGAGGAGACATCCACCACCACCATGGGAACCACTGCCTTCCGCAGGTCTTACCCCAGAGAACAGCTGGGGATTTCTTTTATAAGATAGGATGACTTACGTACTCACTCCCATTCACGATGTCTTTTCTACATCTGCCCAGGAGAAGCAAGGATTTCTGAATGCCTTGACTACGGATAGAAGCATGCTGTTGGAAGAGTAGCACAGGCCTTCTCTCATCTGCTCAAACGTGCCCACTACTGCCGTAGACACGTGGATCTTCTGTGTTTCCTGAAGAACCTGTCCACCGCGTACCTTCAGTGAGCCAGGCCCCGGGCTGGGCCTCAGCTTCACCTTGGTGAACAAAACTCCGTCCCTGGCCTCAAGCACTCATCCCCAGGTTAAAGATGAGTGAAGAACGGTGGGTCTCCCTTACTCCAGAAGAATTTGACCAGCTCCAGAAATACTCAGAATGTGAGTAAATGGATTGACCCACCTGGGGCAGGATTTCCTCTTGGGTTGGGGAGACCATTTCTGGAGAGCAGAGTGGAGTAATCAGTGCAAAGCCTCAGAGAATGAGGGTGGGCTGGACAGATTATATTTCCTTATAAACACAGAATCGGTGTCTTTAAACATAAAAACAATTATCTTTACACTCTATAAATGATACATGCTCACCAGAGAAATTTGGCATATACAGGGGAAAAAATAAAGAGTAGGTTAAAAAACACAACCAAACTCTATGAGCATTTTGGAACACTCCCCTCCTGTGCATATTACTTTACATGGTTGTAAAGTTCCTGAGTGTACAGTACCTTTTTTTTAGCCTGCATTTTCTGCCTAATATAATACTGTATTTTCTCAAGTGATTAAAACCTGTTTATAGTATAATTTTTGAAAGGCTGCAGGCTTTACGGTTACAGTGTTACTCAATCATTGGCTTTAATGTACTCTTGTGTTTGGACCCAAGGCTTTTTTTCAGTAAGATGAAGAATTCTCATGTGTGTCTCTTTCTTGACTTTGTTCTGAATCAGCCTTGCAACTGGGGTTCTAGAGGTTTCCCATTAGTTACACCCAGGAACGATTGCAATGCAGCAAGTTACAGTGATGGTGAGGCTCATACTCAGCAAGGTACAGTGGTGGTGAGGCTCATACTCATGCAAGGTACGGTGGTGATGAGGCTCATACTCACGCAAGGTATGGTGGCGGTGAGGCTCATACTCACATATGGGCTGTGCCCTCCAAAGGCCACTCCTAATCCTGACAGAACAGGCATTTGCTGAGGCTGGAGCACCAACTGACCACTGTGCTCTGTACACACATGGCCACTATGGTGATTATGCAGTGGCACCAGCTTCTTATGGAGCCCTTTGCTTTGCAGAACTCTCAGCTGCGCTCCCTGCCCTGCCCCTTTGTTCTAATCACCTCTCCCTTCACATTAATTAATTGTACTGGGTGCTTTTGTAAGTCACTAGGCCAATGGCAGGTTGGCCTGTCCCACAGAGCTTTCCCAGGTAGCCCTCGAACGCCCTTTTGGCAGCCTGCCCCCCCCTCACAGGGCAAGCAGCCCTTGCCCACAGCACTGGTCTGGGAGCCTAAGTGTGCCAGCTCTGGCTCTTGGTCTCTCTATTGTGACAGCCCTTAACCTCCAAAGCCTGTATGCTCTTCTGAAAAATGAGAGGGTTGGACTAGATGATCTCTCTCTGTTGTTCCTCTGAGGCCTGACACCCATGACTCTGTTCTCCATGGTCAACCGAGGCCCCATGGGACTGCTGGTCAGTCTCCCTCCTGACTCCCTGGAGTTCCTGGCCTCTTGTCTGACCTTGATGGATTTAGAGAAACTCCGTAATGTATTGACAAGGGGCCAGTCATCCCCTTCCAGAGTAAATTCCATTTAATTCAGCATGTTCTGTAGGTCAGCAAAGTATCAGCGCTGTCAGGGATGAAAAAGAAGCGTAAAGAAAAGGCTTGCTTTTGAGGAATCAGAATCTTGTTAGAGAATCAGAACTGTGCTCCTAACACAAACAGAGAGCAGGTTTAGGGCAGCAGGCACATACCTCTGCTGAAGAGCTGGCTGAACTGACTGTATAAATGAGAAGGGAATTTAAAGCTAGGGGAAACTGGTATGGGGGAGTGTATTAGTTTGCTAGGCTGCTGTGACAAAGCACCACAATCTGGGTGGCTTAGGATGACAGAACGTGTCTAATGGCTCCGGAGGCTACAAGTGCTATCCGCAGGGTTGATTCCTCCTGAGGGCTGTGAGGGAAGAATGTGTTCTAGGCTTCTTTCCTTGGCTTGCAGAAGGCTGTCTTCTCGCTGTTTCTCCATGATGTTCTCCCTGTGTATGTGTCTCCATATCCAAATTTCCCTTTTTTATGGGCACAGTCACCTTGGATTAGACCTGCCCCATTCCAGTATGACTTCATCTGAACATCTGTAATGACCCTATTTCCAAATAAGGTCACATTTTGAGCTGCTGGGGGTCAAGACTTCAACATGTGAATTTGCGGGGAGGGGATACAATTTAACTCACAACAGAGGATTTAGCTGGGTGGACTCTGTGGAGGATATAAGTTTTAAAATGTGAGTAGTAGATGGTGGGGGAGGGGGGGTGGAAACAAAGGAAATAGAGCGGGAGAGGCACAAAGAGAGAAGGTGTGTATGGGTGGTAAGGAGAACTTTTGGGCCACATGGAGAGAAGGAGAGGAGGGTGGGGAGGGGGCCATAGGAGGGATGGGGATAGCAGAGGGCCTTGGGTCAGAGTGTGGGTTTTGAACCAAGGTGGCAACATTTATAGCATGAATCTGGCGGCTATGTGAGGGGTGGCCTGAATATAGAATCTTCCAGATCAGGGAGGTAGAGGAGAGTCCTCTGGACGAAATCTCTTCTGAACTGAGGAGTGGGGCTAGGGTGGTGAATGTGACAATGAACAAACGCTGATCCGTAGAAAGCTGTGGTGGAAAGTATCACCAAAATTCACAGAATGGGAAGCTAGCCAAGATACCCCTGAAGACTGTGAATCTGTGGAAAATGCCAGCATTCGCATTCAAGGCTAGTGGGGACAGTTTGGGAGTGTGACTTGGGGATGGTGATGACACATCCACTTTTGCATTCGTACATGCCAGGCTGAACCAGCAGTGGGTGAGACACAATCCTGGCCCTCAAAAAGCTCCCAGGCTAGGAGGGAAAGACAGGTATGCCTGGAACAAGGATGTTCAGTATGGCAGGTGCTGGCTCAGTATGGGCACAGAGGAGGCCACTTAGCCTAGCCTGGTGGGAGGCTTCCTGATGCAGAAGGGAGGAGGGGAGAGCACTGCAGGCAGGGGAAGTGGCTTGGGAAGGCAGGGAGGAGGTAAAGTCATTGTGGGACCTTCAGGGAGCTGTGGGCAGGTTACATACTGGGAACCTAGAGCACACGGTGGTGTTTGTGGTGAGAGGGGATTTGAGACAAGAATTGAAAGGATAAGACCCCATTGTGGAGGGCACTGCTTTCCAAATACAGTGTCCTGTGGGCCTGGGAGGGGAGGTGGTGGGAAGCGAGTGGGAAGGAGGGCTGCGCGACAGCTCTGACTTGGAGTCATTGTGTGGAGGCAGCAAGGAAAGATCAGCAACGGGAGTGAAGGCACTTCAAAGAGCAAGCACATGAGGAGAGAGGTGAGAAGGTGGGAAACAGGGCCATGGGTCTGCCTGTAACCAGGGCTCGGAGGAGGGAAAGGAGTCAGAAGAAGACAGAAGAACTGGAAAGATGACCAGGGGAAAAGAGTAATTGGTGGAGGGAGCTGAGGGACAGAGGGGTCCACATGTGTCAGAGAAGTAGGGGAGGCAGGGGGTAAAAAGAAACCAGAGTGTTTAGTAGGAGGGGGTTCCTTGTGGTTTGGGTTCCCCCCTCCCCCCAACCATCGCTTTGTCCTTCTCTGACCCGTCCTCATTTGGTCTTGTGCCGGGACTGGACAAGGTGCTCGTGCACTGTTCTAACAGGAGAGGGGAAAAAGCCACAGTTCTTGGAAAATGATTAATCCTCAGAGGAAACCCTGAAAAAGGCACTTCTACCAATTTTAGATACATGCCGGTGTTCAGACAGATCACATCGCCATAGCAACTGCTCTTCTATAACTACATAAACAGGAGCTTTGCAGTAGTGGAATATCTGAAGTGCATAGCCTGAGAATTGAGAACTTTCCCCAGTAGGGTTACCAGGTAGGAGAGGCCAAGAATTTCAGGAGAAGAGGCTCTTGGTGTATTCTGTTTATATAACGTAAACCCTGTGCCATCTCTGGTGGCCTTCTTCTGGGGATGAAGCCAGGTTACAACTGCCCTTGGAGATGTACATATTTATTTTACGTGTACACAGGCACACACATACATAGTTGATATATATATGGTAAGATTAATGTGAGTCAATAGTGTAAAGTGCCTGTAAAAAAATAATAATGTGATGTTAAGGATATTTGTGTTGGAAAATAAAAACAAATATAAAAATGAAAAACAGAAGGATGAAATTTAAAGCTACCCATGATTCTGTCTCCCAGTGATAACCACCACTAGTGTGTGTGTGTGTGTGTGTGTGTGTGTGTGTGTGTGTGTGTGTAAAACAGACATGCTAGCCGATTTCATATGCTCTTCTCCTCACCCTAACAATTATCAATCCAATTCAGTTATCTACTGCTACATCAAAACAACTTCAAAATTTGGTGGGTCGAAGCAGCCATTTTGTTTTTGCCCATGATTCTGTGGCTCAGGAATCTGGGCAGGGCACAGCTGGGGTAGCTAGTCCCTGCTCCCTGATGTTTGGGGCTTCAAGGGGGATGCCTCACATGATCCAGCAGGGCTTATTCACTCCCATGCTGTTATCTCAGTGTTCCTCCATGGGATTTCTTTCTCCAAGTGCTTTGTCCTCTCCCAGGGCCTCGCCATGTGGCCTATCTTTCCAGCAGGCTGGCCTGGACTTCTTCCATGTGGCCCAGGACTCTGAGAGCATAAAAGTTGGTCTCCTTATGGGGCGCCTGGGTGGCTTAGTCGGTTAAGCGTTCGACTTTCGCTTAGGTCATGATCTCGCGGTTCGTGGGTACGAGCCCCGCGTCGGGCTCTGTGCTGACAGCCAGCTCGGAGCCTGGAGCCTGCTTCAGATTCTGTGTCTCCCTCTCTCTCTGACCCTCCCCTGCTCATGCTGTCTCTCTCTCTCTCTCTCTCTCTCCTAGAAATAAATAGAACATTAAAAATTTATTTAAAAAAAAAAGTTGGTTTCCTTAACACCTGGACTCCGAGGTCCTAGAACAGAACTATCTCCACATTCCATTGGTCAGAGCAGTCCCAGGCCTGGCCCAGACGCAATGGGACTGGGAATTGGACTGCACGCCTCATGGGAGAGTGGCTCCCACAGGAGCAGGGAGATCGTTAGACACTAGCTAGCACACAGTATGCCATGGGGTGTTCCTGTATTGTTCAGTACTTTCCAGAAACATGGTTTTCAGGGG